TTTACAATCAAATTAAAGATGGCCAACTGGCTGCCATCTTGCTTTTTCGACCATACTACGGTATATCCCCAAGGCTTATAAACCCTTTTTCATTCATATTTGGCACATACATCATACATATAGGAATACATATTCATGTCAGTATGTTCCATAATCTGATGGCCAACTGGTATCCATCTTGTTTTTTTGAAAATGTGGTCTCTTAGGCAGGATTTGTCAATTTTCAAATTTGATACAAACATTATACATGTTGATATACATGTTGATGATGATTCGTTTCATGTTCCGTATCTCTGTACATGAGCCTGGACAAATGAAATTTGGTTTGGATACTAAAAATGCATGATTAGCATATCCTGTTTAATTTCTGACCATATATTATGATTATGATATCTTGGCTGATTTCATTCAAACATGCCAGTAAAAAGTTAGTTATGACCACTTGATTTAGAATGGCTGACTGGTGGCCATACAAATGTTAGTCCATGTTGGACATAGTCTGAAATCAATGACTTGTGTTTTTCGTCCAATCGTTTCACGATTTGCTACAATAAAGCCAAGGTGGTAATTTTTGTGCTGAAAAATTCATCAAAATCATGCATTTCTGTCATTCTGGAACTACGTATGAACAGATTTTGTTCAAACTCGGAATAAACATCAGACATTATGGGACCTTTTTCAACTTCCAAATGACCGACTGGTGGCCATTTTGTTTTAAAGCTGTACATGTACCTCTGACATTTCCTGACTTGTGTCATGCAGTTTTGGAGCCATATTTCTGTTATGCACTACTAGTATCTGTTCGTATTCAAACTTTATATATTTCAGTTACTAACCCCCCGCCCCCCACACACACACAAACACATAGACACTTAGGCATGAAACTTAATCCATTGATTTAGCTCAAAACGTTACACATGTATACTCTTGATAGTACGTGTCATAATCATATTCCCTATGCGGGTAATGTAAGCCCTAAAAACGTTGCACATAAGTGCACGTAGCTTGCAGCTATTGTAATGTTTATATCACCTCTACGCTGTCACCCCCGCCTATATAATACGTTAGTATTGGAACATGTAAATCAAGCTTGACAAAAAGATGAAGCTTTAAAGCTAGAATGTACCTGCCGTCCTGTAAGTCTTCAACATGACTTGCAAACTGAGCATACTCACATGAACACTAAAAAGCATTCAAATTTACCCCCCCCCCTCTCTCTCTCTCTCTCTCTCTCTCCCAAATTCATACTTAATTTGTGCGACACATGTTTCAACTCTCTATTTGAAATGTGACTTGAAAGCACAAAAATAGGTCCCGGAAGTGCAACAGATAACCATAAATGATGTATGCTAGGATATATTCGATGCAAAATACCTTACAATACTGATACATGATATCAAAATATACATATGCTGTCTATGGCGATCGGCAAACCAAATGTTCAAGGTTTGATGCACTATTTCAAACTATGACAATATAATGAAAACATCATATACAAGATTTTGTCAATTAATGGAGCGGCGCTATTTACAACTGATTACAAGTCATTTCTTCAACTGGATTAATTTGCAAATTACTTTTGAATTAATTATGATGAGACTAACGCTGGAAATTACATTAAAGACCTGTATTTTGATCTATATTGTTTGTGTTTAATAATTACCCACTAGAACTTGAATGACTTAAGTCCATCGCTATCACTTTGAGCGCTATGGCTTCTAAAATACAATGCTACATCAACCGAACTGAACTTTTTGGCATTTGCATGTGTCTTATCTGTCTGGGAATCTGTCTAATATCTGTCTGCAATCTAAATATCAACCTGGTTTTTAATTAGGATTAGGAATAAATTGTATGTTAATTATTGAAATCTTTGCTGCTAAAACTATTATGTAAAAATAAACAAAATCATTCCTCAAGCATTGAAATTCACTATTTTTAGTGGGAAAAGAAATATAAAATATTCTAAATGGGGGAGGGTGTACTCATTTTTTGGTAGTGATTTGGAATTACTAGTGCCATATCTATTTCATATTTTATTAGTGTTTAACTAATTTATCGTTTTTTGAATTGGAAGATGTTTTTATTTGGAATTGAAAATTGAGTTTGAATCTATAATCTATGAAATGACAGCACTCTTTACGCGGCTTTATCTGTTCAATACTCATGTTCTTAGTAAAAACGTATTGATTTAAACTAAAACCTTTAGTCGTGTTCAGAATAACGACAATAGAGAGGCCCAAATGTCAGCAGTGTTTTGAAATCCTGTTAAATTGAACATTAAAATAGCGCCCACATACATCACAATTAACTGTTTGTTACCTATATATTTCACAATGCACGTATTGACGCTGTGAAAGACGATGTATATATTAAAGTAACAAACCATGTTTCCCATGAAGTGCTCCAATCAGCGACATTAACATTACGCCCATAAGCCGGTGTAATTGGCATGCAAGTAGAATCACCAATCAACACCTAGGAAGTTGTTTAGCCTGCGTGCGTACACCTATATCTAACCTTTATTTCTATTCTTCCTTCTTAGTAATTTGCTAATCACACCCACGGGAATACTTTCCCATACAAATGAGATTGCTGTGTAATAGTTATGCATTCTTAGTTTAGAATCATTGGTTCTCGGTTTACTACCACCAATCACTTTAAGTCTTAATTCATTTTGGAATTCTAATTGCTAAATATTAAAAAATGCTTTTGGGTGACATAATTTTTCCGCCCGAATTACGGTGCACCATTCTACATATTTTTCTACAGTTTTGTTAAGAATTTAGGGTCAATGCACTTAATTTAGGGTCAATGCACTTAATTTAGGGTCAATGCACTTACTTTCCCCCATGTGCTACTGGTGTTGATTAAGATTACTGAAAACACAACTAAACAATGTATTCAGGATTGTTTTGTGAAAGGTGTTATAATTTGACTTGCATTCAAAAGGTTATCGAAGAGTTTGTCAGTCATTTTGTGGATTTGAAAAATTTAGTGCATATAATAAACACTTCATTATGTACGTGATTCGGTTACATTTATTGCTACATACTTTCATGTAAAACTATGGAAATCATGGATTATTATACTGTTTTTACTGAAATGTTTGTTGCTAGGCAACTGAAGTTGATATTAATAGCTTTCAAATTATTGTATAGCTGTACCAATCAGCTCACATGGTCTAGTTCTCGTTTTCATCAGATTTAATAAATTGCATCAAAATCTAAAAAAATTTGTTTTATGAATGCTTTCTTTAAGACAGATGTAATTTGTATCTCATAAATGATCTTATACATATAGTAATCTTGGAAGCATGGATAAGTTGACATTGGCATTCTGCCAATTTTATCATACTGTGATGTCACATGTTTGCATTGTTCTGATTGGCTGACACTAGTTCTGTAAAATCTGTATTAAAAGCTGTAGCTTTTATTAACAAAGGGCATGAGATTGGATATATTACTTATTTTGTGACAATTGCTGGAACCACTGATAATGCTGAAATGTCACTGAAAACCGCCATCAATAGTTGTTCAGGGAATAAAGGACAAAGCATTGTCCATTATTGCATTTAATGAATTACCATATCCATCAGAATTAGAGCTTTTTATGGCGTCATAGATTTACATTATCACACGATAATATAAACCTATATTTGCAAGGAAATTCAACAAAAAGCCTCAAAAAGTAACTATTTGTTTAAAGTTCTGATGATGATTTATAACAAATAATGGTCTACACATGATAATGTGTTCGGCTTTTACCTTGTGTGTCATTTTGCCATAGACCGTTCTCATCATTCAATACTTAGCACTGCGGGGATTTATATTTTCTAAATGATGGGGATGTACGTAATAATGGACGAGACATTGTCAAGACCATTTCAGCAAACATGCCCGTCCAAGTCCTGCTATCACTCTATACGAACTTGTTAACATTCTCTCAAAGGACAGGGTGATATTTATACATGTATATATATATATATATATATTAATAATTGCTTATAGTAAAGGTTAATCGCATGACAATGTTCATGTTATTTTTTGTAAAATCCTGGGGTTATAATTCCATGGTAACATGAATCAGCATTCTCTTGTACAGTGCCATATTTTGAGAAAGCTGGCCAAGTTCAAAATAGTTAATTTTAGAAATGATTTATTTTGCAAAACTAAATTTTTATCACTTTGGGATAACATAATTTTAAAAAAATATAATTTTTTCACCGTATGTCACTAGGTATCTATACAATCTGTATTAGAAGCTGCGACTTTTATTAAAATGGTACAATGTAACACAGAGGATGGGGCTTCTATTTAGAGCGTCTACATATCTGAGAAATAAAGAAATTTCGGTTCTCAGTTTTCAGAAGGAATAGGAGCAAATTCTTATACAGATTTTTTCGTTACCTTTTGAAATATAGACCAAATGGTAGAAACCTTCCATTGGCCATTATGTTGGTTGGCCAGGAGAACAAATTATTGCAAAAATAATGAATTCTGTTATAATCAGAGAATAGAAGTTGACTCATTATACATACTTTTTTTCAGTTTTGTATCTTGTAATGTACATACGAATGGATACTAAGATGTCATAATTTATGGGTTTTTTTCTTTTATTTGTGTGTATGATAGTAGAAATACAATTTTAATATTCTCTGAACATTTTGTAAACTTTTAAAGACAGGGACTATGTCATCAATGGTGAAATGTTCATAGATGCATAATACCATTCAATTAGGAATATTGGATATATCAGCTCTTGAAATTCACCAAGGCCACCTAGGCCAGTGCCTAAATGCTTTGCTGCTCTTCAAAATTGTTAACTATTTCATTCAGATTTTTAATCAGTCCAAAGCAATTTTTGATTTTTTTTTCTCTGAAATTGGATACCCTTAGAATTCTGAAGTTCAAATTCTGGGGTTGATACATGTATTCATATTGCAAATCAAGTGTGGTATGCATGATCTTATTATTAATATGCAATTTTTTTCATTTTAGATATGGTGGTGTGTGTATGAATCCTCCGCCTCCACAACTAGATATTGCAAACACGTTGTGGAATGTTATTGGAAGGTACGTTTTTTTTACTTTCTTCATCAAAAATCGCTAATAACATTTTTCTCAATGATTCTGTTTAATTCCAGTTTGCCCCCCCCCCCCAAAATACAATTATTGAAATAATTCATAATTTTTTTATTTCACTTATCAAACATAAAACAGTGAAAACAACAATCATAGCATTCTAGTTGTGTCAAAACATTGTGCGATTCAAAACAAAAGTATATTTATATGCTATATACATTTGATAATGGTCAATTTTGATGAAGTAAAAGTATCTCATTGCCATCTTCCTCTGAAAAGTCAGAATTTTGACATTGAACTTTAAAAAAAAAATTATTTTCAGAATTAAATTATTTGGTTTTGTGCATCAAATTTTCAGTCTGCTTTCATGCATTACATGAGATCTGGCAGTGAACACAAAACCATCTATTAATAATAAAGTGATTTTTCCTCGCACAGTTACTGTTAACCACTTGATTTTCGCTGCTTTTCCTGATTTAAAGATTTTATGGCACTCTTGAAGACAAAATTTTGTGAAAGCTGTTGACACTTTGTGTTGTAGAAATCCTGATTTTCATCATCATGCTACAACGTTTCCTGATTTTCGCTGACTAGCGTAATGCATGAAATTTGTTAAAAAATCATCTCTCGTGAAATTAAAGCAGTTAACAGTATTAAAGCAGCGAGTTGTCACCCGCGCATGCGTTAGATGGCCATAGCGTGTCATTGTTTACAAACAAGTGTCTACCCATGAGCCTTTGCGTTTTTTTAGTGTGTGTTGTTATCGTCGCTTGGGACTCAATTTCCGCGCGTGTGCAGCTGACGACCCTCCCACTTTAACACATTGCTATCCATGGTAAAGACAGATTATTAAATTCTGTATTTCAGTCTGTAACTCTAACTTTAATGCCAATCTCTGATACATGTACTTTTCAACAAGACATCTACCAAATACAATTATTGAAATACGTTTTATTTTTTTGTAGAGTTCCCAGTTCTGGATGTAGAAAAGAAATCTTGGAATCTTACTGTTCTTACCATTACAATTTAGATGGCGGGTGTGTACCACCGGTATTACTACAACACCCCCAGGTAAACAGTATTTTGTGTTTTCTTTGAGTGGACGTGCGATGCAATACAGAGGTATTGGGTGTTATTTGAAGAGACGCCAGTTGAATTTTACTGAAATGTCAGATGTACAAAATGTACTTATAATAGATGTTTTGAGATTAGCAAATCTGTTTTTGGCTGAAATCTGTGCATATAACAATTTGTATGTAAATTACATATTAATAACATTATTAGCTAGTTTTATGTTTTTTCTGTTGATCTCAAATTCATTTGGTATTAAGACTTTATTACAAGTACACTGTTACATTGTGAATATTTAATGACTAAGGGACGACGTCAAAAGATCGATGTCGGATAAAAAACTTATTTGCTTTAGTTTGGGGGGGTTGACCTCAAAAAGTTTCCATTCTACAAAAACGATTTTATTTTTTAATGAAGTAAAAAAAATCTT